ATATTGAGTTTGTCATTAATTTCTCATATATTACACCAAAAGTACAGGCAAAAACAAATCATTGGACTACATCAGAATTTTAAAATTTTGTGTACCAAAGGGCACCATTGATAGAGTGACAAGACAACCCAAAGAACGGGAGAAAATATTTGCAAACCATATATCAGGAGACTGATATCTACAGTATATGAAGAACTCCTACAACAACACGGCAACAGCAACAAAAATTTTTTTAATGTGCAAAGAACACGATTTATTTTCAAAAGAATAGCAGTCACATTTTAAATAGAAATTATGGAAACCAGAATACAATGGAACATCTTTAAAGTGCTTAAAGAAAACAAATTCTAAGCTAGGATTCTGTTTCCAATGAGTCAAGGAGTATCACTTTTTTAAATTAATTAATTTATTTATTTATTTTACCTTTTTTTTGGGGGGGTAGAGGTTTTTGCTATAGGGCTCATGCACTTGCCAGAAAGAGATAGAAAGCAAGAAATCATCCCCCGAGGGGATGGCCACGCCACAATTCCTTCTCCAGTCTCCTCTCGGGATCTTGGGCACACACGCACATGCTCCTGGCATGAGTTTAAGCCACCAGGTCCAGGACTCGAACCATGATCAACTAAATGGGAGTCCAGCCACATAGCCATTATGTCAACTACTGGTCCCCCCCCCCCTTTTTTTTTTTTTGAGAGGTTTTTGTTATAGGGCGTGTGCACTCGCCTGAAAGACCAAGAGAGAAAGAGAGACAGAAAGTGAGAAATCACCCCCTCGGGAGGATGGCCACTCTGCAGTCCTTTCTCCTGTTGGGATCTTGGGCATGCACATACACGCACCCAGTGTGAGTTTAAGCCACTGAGTCTGGGACTCGAACCACAGTAACTACATGGGAGTCCAGCAACATAGCCATTATGCCAACTGCTGGTCCCCCAATGAGTATCACTTTCAAAAGTGAAAGTGAAAGATATTTTTAGGCAAAGAAATGATAAAGGGATTGATCACAAATAGATCTATATTGAAAGAAATGCTGAAGACAGTACCAAAATTGGCAGGGATGTAGAGCAACATAAAGACTGGTTACTTCCAGAGTAAAAAATAAAAAGTAGAGAAAATGCATAAAACTTAAAAGGAAGTAATAATACTTACATTTGCTGACACATCTTTGCGTACTTACAAAATCCAGAAGAAACTACAGACTTAGAATTAAGCGAATTTATTAAGGCCCGGATACACAGAAAAACAAACAAAATGTTCACATCCTCTATATACCAATAAAACCCAAATACTTGACTTTTAAAAATTATACGGTTTTCGTTAGCATCCAAAAATATCAACTACCTAGTGATAAGCTTAATGAAATTAGTGTAAGATCGCTACACAGGAAAACATTATTAAGATAAATGAAAGAAAGCCTAAATAAGTGGGATATACAATGTTTGAGAATGGAAGACTCAATATTGTTAATATGTCAGTACTCAAATTGATTGATAGATTTAATACAATTTCCATCAGAATTCCAGCATGTGTGTGAATGTGTATAAAGTGACATATTGAAACAGAAGGCCAAAGAGTCTACCTAACTTTGAAGAAGAACAAAAATGGAGAATGTAGAACACCAGATGTCAATACCTGTTACACAGGTCCATGTTAATATTAGCATAAGGATATACAAATGGGCCAATAAAACAGAATAGAATCCAAAATTTAATTCACATATATGTGGTCACCGGATTTACAACAAAGGTGATACTGCAACACAATGGGGAAGGGATGTTTTTAATCAGTGGTGCTAGGTCAATTAGATATTGATATGGGAAAAATTAATTTGCATCTTTTCTTTATACCCCACACATGAAAACCAATTACAGATGCATCATGAACCTAAGTATGAAATGAAAATAATAATGTTCCTAGATGAACATGTACAATACATTTATGGCCCCGTGGTTGGCAAAGATTTCTGAAGCAAAAACTCTCACCGTAAAGGAAGAAAAGAATAAAATGGACTAAATAAAAAAGTGTTTTTAAAAAGATGTCATCAAGCCAACCCCATGGCCTAGTGGGTAACGAGGCCAACTATGGTTTGAATTCCAGCCATGGCAGCTTGAAAAACACAATGGGCATGTGTGTATGAGTGTCCCAGATTGCAGTGGAGAAATGGAAAAGAGATCATGAAATGAACGTGCCTCATTGGGGATGCTTTCTCCCTCTGCCCACTGTTCTCTCTTTCTTTGTCACTCTCTGGTGAGCACACATGCCCTCTGGCTTACGTAGGGGAAAAAAGATAAAAGAGTGGAATATAAGCGTACCACCTACCAACTCTACTCTTGGCAGGTATGTAAGGAGCGTAGTGAGTAACTACAAGTCACAAAATTGCTTGGCTTAGTACCAGACCTCTCTTATAGCTGCTAACCTGTATGTTTAATTCACACTCCAGCTAGGTTTTGAAGCTCTACTGCTTAGTCTGCCTGCCTGGATCCCATGCTTTATTGTAATCATAATTGTAACTATTGTTGTAACCATAGTTGTAATCATAACTGCAGATCTTAAAATATGCTACCTGGCTTCTTGATATCTCTGCTTACATGATGCTCAGGGTCGTTTGCCTGCTCTTAGTTGATCTATCTCGTTAACACACAGATCTTCTCCTCATTTAGGTCACGGTTTAATACAAGTTCAATCACTGTAATATCATCCTCATTTATTTCCTTCAGAACTGTCAAAATCTGAAATTGTGTTCCTCTTTCCTCCAACCAAAAATATTAGCTCCATGACAGCAGAAGTTATTTTTTGTTTTCTTGCATTTTTTTTGTTCTATACCTTCAAAGTTTAGAAGAGTGGGCATCCAAAAGTTATTAAATGGGAGAATTAACTTTGCATCCTGATTTCTAAACTCATGTGTACTCCAGCACAGACTTTGTAATGGTTTTAACCCTTGGCCCAGATCCCTTCAGAACCTGACACAACTTAAGGGATTCACCTCCCCACCTTGTTCTTAGAATTTACTACTACTTAGCTCTCGATCTAACAGTTGATAGCAAGATAGTTATTCTAATAACAAGGTAGTCATTTTGACAGTCACTTTAATTAAAATAGAATTCCACTTTAAAGAGACTTAGACTAGTTTTTCAATCAAAGTTAAAAAAACAACAAATGCTTTCTGCTTTATTAAAGTCATAAGTTCATTTTACAGAGTAATACTTTACTTCATTAAAGTGGAATGATCTAGGTAAAGCACCTAGCATGTGGCAGACACTCAATGGCAGTGTTCCTTTTATTTCCTTTTTATTAAGACTTCCTGTTACTAAAATTCTTGGGGCTAACCCATAGCATAATGGGTAAGCACTGTACATCAGGAATCAGATCCCACATGGCCCACTGTGGTTTTAGTCCCAGCCTTGGTGGCTTGAAAAACACTCCAAGTGCATCTGCACGCATGCCCCAAATCCTGATGGGAGGGAGAAGTGGGGAAGAGATTGCAGCATGAGCACACCCTATTGGGGTACTCTGTCCCTCTCTCTCTCTCTCTCTCTCAACACACGCACCCTCTGGCAATTACATATAACTGCTTGTTGGCCCACCATGGTGGTACAGCAGTCATGCAGTACTCCATGATGCTAAAGTCACGTGGCTAGGTCCTGGGTTGCATTTTAGCTTCTCCCTATAAACACCAGGCACACATATGAGCCAGCGGTCCTGACCGGCTGAGACGGGGTGGATTGTGACATGAAGACCCTGTTGGGAGTGGGGAAGTGTCTTAGAATAAATAAGCTATAAGTAAGTTTTTAAAGACTGGCTGCCTTTTTAAAAAGTATAAATACTTGAAACACTACAGGCATGTTAATACAGATTACCTAAAAATTACAACTTGCAATCTTTAATTTTGTCCTCAGCAGCTGACTCAGAAATTTAGAGAATGATATTTTTAAGACAAGAGCATTCTTTCTACTTGCAGAGATGGTAGAAACAGTATAAAATAAAAGTTTCCAGACATAATTTTTCTTTTGAATTGCATCCTTTCTTCTAATTATTATTTGCCGTGTGTGCATCTGCCAGAGAGACAGAGAGAGAAGAGAAGTGAGAACACACCTCCCATGGGGCACGATCACACTGCAATCCCTCATTTGTCCATTCTGTCAGGATCGTGAGCTCACTTGCCTAGACACCTGTCATGTCAAGCCTCTGGGTCCAGGACTCAAACAACACAGTCATCTATGTGAGCACCAGCCACCCTAACCATCAGGCCGGAGTCCCTGACTTACATTCTTTTGTGGTCCTAGTTCATTCTTACTCAGAATAAAGCCTTATAGATATGTTTTAATGTTGGACCTACAGACCTTTCAAGTGTACCACGTAAAAAGCGTGTATGAATAAGTTATAGATAAAGGTATGAACGTAGTTCATATTTCTTTGTACATTTTCCTGGAGTCTGTTATGCAGGCATATCACTAAAGACAGAGTAAATCAGCAATGGAAAAAACTCATAAATACTAGTTCAGTGCACAAAACAACTGGATCTTATTATGGACGCTCAACATACAGCCCAGGCGCAGCTGCCATGGCGCAGGAGTGAGGCCTCCACAGCACAGTGAGGCCTGGGTTAGGGTCCCTGCGCAGCCCAAATGGGCCAGGCCCTGAGGAGAATGCTCGTCTCCTTAGGTAACAGGGAGAGTGGGGCAGGAAAACTGCAGCATGGCAGGACCCTGTTTGTTGAAATACCTTTGTCTCTGTCTTTTTTTTTTTTTTTTAATAATAAACTATTAGAAGTGTTAAATTTCTGTCTGAGGTGTTTTTAAAATGTATGCACATAGGTTTGGTTAATAATTTTTAAAATGAATAATTAGAGCTGCTTTGACTACAGGGTATCTGGCTTGACTCTGATATAAAACTTTGCAATAAAATCAGTAAAAAAATGAATCCCACTCTATCATTTTTATTTTTCTATAAATTTATAGTCTTGTTTTTTTTCCTTTCAAATTCTTTTTTCTTTTAAATCTTAGCATGCACATTACAGAATCAAACTATGAACATTTGGAGAAGAAAGACCCCCCAGTATCCACAGTTTCTCAGGTAAAAACTTGAAGACTGTTTTGTAAGTATATGATATAAAAATCAGTCTCGTCTTAAAATTTTATTTCTAAACTTTACGTACTACTTAGGTTTCTTTTATATGTTTGATTAAAAAATAAAAAGTGATCATTTTGAAATACCTAGTTTTAACAGGTTCTGGGAAATGAGCAAAAAGTAGAGATAAGGGTGACTACAGAGTGTTTTGAAGCGAACAGGGAAGATTTTAGGAATAAGGGAAATACCACTTATTTCTTGCCGTGTCCAGGAAAAATTCAGTGACTTAAACTTATAAGATAAAGATAAGCCTAAATTAATTAAAATATGCTGGGTATTTTGGAGACCCAAGTTTTTTACAATATATTTTTAAAGTATATAAAGCAGGTCATTAGACCTTTCGTCAGTCTAGTTTTACTAAATAACAAGTACTCATCACTAGAAGTATAAATTGCTTGTTTTTTTTTTAAATAGAGGTTTCTTTCTCTCTTTTTTTAGAATTATTTACTTAATTTTATTATTTTTATTTTTAATTTGCTATAGGGAATGTGCACTCACCAGAGAGAGAAGGAGAGAGAAAGTGAGAAAGCAAGCTGCCAGGTCCAGGACTCAAACCACAGTTGGCCATGTGGGAGTCCAGTGCTTCATCTGCCACGCCACCTGCTGGCCCCCTTTCTTTTTTAATTTTCAGAGAGTGCTTGAACTTGCCAGAGAGACATATGCTTGGTGTGTTTTCACCATGGTCACCCATGTGAGGGCCAGCTTTCTTAACCACTGGGCAATGAAGCTGGCCCAAAAATAGTTCTGAAGGACCAAAAAATTCCTGTTGATAATATTCTAAATATTGCCATTGATTCTAATTATTTATCTGTGAAGAATTCATTCTAATCCCTATCAATTTAAAGTCTGAGATAATAAAATTTTAAATAATGTGATTTAATTGAATATGACATTTTACTTACCCTAATTAAAATTTATATCTTTAGCCCTTATATACAGTGATAGAAATTCCAGAAAAAGACTCTATACCCGAAGATACAGTAAATCAACAAAGGGAACCAGAACTCCAACAAGTCAATCATGAGCAGGTTCGAAGAACTTCCATCTTAAAAAGCTACATGCATTTTTGGACATTCGCCACTGTGCTGTCTCTGTCTCCCTAGTTATTAAATGTGGACTCTGTCCTCAATCCGTCCACACATGCTAGCCTCTGTTACCATCTCCTGTGTCCATATGATGCTGTCCTCTCACTGCAGTAAGAGTATTATCCGTGCACACACATGCACACAGCATGACGACCAAAATGCAGATTTGGAGTCACTAGTCTAGCCTTATCTCTACTTCTTTTATTGTGGTGAATTTGTTACTTTATTTATGTTTTGTCCTTTTACACTGGAGGGAACTTCTCAGTATTTTCTCAAAGTAAAGGTTTCTGTTTTCCAACTACTTTTAGGCCTGAAAGACTGAGGTAGAACAATTAATTTTATAACTATGTTATCTATTGGGTCACTGGAAAAGTCATGACTTTTTTTTGTATGTTTTTCTATGCAAAAATGCATCGTGACTTTTCCAATGACCCAATATAAATACCAGCGATAGTGTGCTTGAATTTCTGAAGACTTGACCTGTGTTTCCTTTTTTTTTTTCCAGTTATATCACTTTGCCAGTGAAATGTGTCCAAGTATTTTTCCAGTGGAGAATGTGTCCAAGTAAAATTCTGTTTCCCTTCCTTTCCAATTTAGTTGTGTTTTCATTTCACAGAAGTTTTGGTGAATGATTTTTGGGACATAGAGGGTGGACACTTAATTGTGTGCCCACATTATTGGCTCATTTATTTAGTAAATATGAATGGTAACTGAAAATGGTGAAGACTTTCTGTACAGGGCCAGATCAAGGTGCCTTGCACAGTGCTCATCCTAAATTCAGGGTGCTCACTGATGTAAAATAGGTCTTCTTTTGTTTGAATAATTTGCTCATGTTGATAGTAATAATATGATTTTAATTATGAGATTTGGTACATGTAAAATTGTATGGAAAGCTTAGTTCTTAAAAGATTTTCTTGTTTCGTTTCAGTTACCCAGTGATCCTAACAGTAGTGCACCTGAAGAAACTAAGGAAACTGTCCTGTCAAAAAAAGAGGAAATAAAACCAGGGCTGGAAAAGAAGACATGTCTTTCTTGTCCTCCACGAGGACAATTGAATAGAGTTATTACAAGTGGTATGTGAGCTTAAGAAATGTAAATGGAGACGAAATGAGAAGTATATTTGATGAATATTAAAATGCAAGAAAACAAGCCACTGCTCAATCTGTGTACCCCAGATCAGACGATTAGCTCTGTTACAAGCAGTATGCAAAGAGGAAATATTTACCTGACTTTTTCAAAAACAAAATACTGTGTAAGAGATCTATATTTTAATCTAGTTTTGGAATTTATTTAAATTCCATTAGAAAAATATATTACATATATTTAATTTCCATTAGAAAAATATTATTTATGCAAAATTTTGGCCCATATTCTTCTATATTTCTACCGTTCAAATTTAAATACTTTAATTTTACTCAAGTAAAAGCAGAACCAAGTATCTGAAATGAGAATTAAATATTGTACGTCAGTAAGTAAATACAATTTAACTAAATTAGGTGTGCCCTTGATTATTTCTCAGGAACAATAAACTCTTCTTTCCTACATGTTATTTCCCTTTCCTTTCCTTTTTTTTAAATTTTATTTTTTATAATTATTATTTTTCAATTCGATCAGCAAGAGAAGGAAAGTGAGAAAGTAAGCCACCAGGTCCAGGACTCAAACTGGAGTCAGCATGTGGGAGTCCATCACCTTAATCATCACACCACCTGCCGACCCCCCCCTTACTTTTCTTTATTCAAGTAGGTATGTAATGTTTGTCTCTTCTCCTACATTTAGTGATGTGGGTGTACATTAAGTGTAATTTAGCACATTAGTAACTAGTCTTCAGTCATGTTCAACTCTCTTTATTACATGCATTTCTCTAATAACTTCAGGTATTTTACTCAAACTTTTACCAATTGTAAAATTTAAGATGTTAGTTTAAAAGCATAACGAAAGTTCCAGACTAACCAACACTGGCTCACTTATAGTCATGTCGTTGTGAGAGGTCCTTGGATGGCTACTGCTTCACTCTCCACTCAGCCTCCTTTGGGCAAAGCAGCAGTCTGGTAAAGAGCTCGAGCAGGAAAACTGCTCTTGAAATACTGCTTGTGATTTCGTTGACAGCACCGAAGTTGACTATGTCAGCCAGCAAAACCATTGTTTTCAGCACGACCGGCAGCTTTCAGAACCTTGCTCATGTTTGTAAGAGCTTGCTTAGCTTCTTCCACCACCCCTCCTGCACAAGCTGTCCACTTGGAGGGTCTGTGCTCAGCTGCCCTGAAATGTAAACGGTCCTGTCCACTGACACAGCTTGACTGTAGGGACCACTGGCCCCTGGGGCGTTTGCTGTGCTGATCACTTTTCTGGAGAGGGACGACATGACTGTTCCTCTCTTGCCCCTCCGAGAGAAGTAGCCCCGACCCCAGCTCTGCTCACTTCCTAGTATATTTTAATCTTTTATATGCCAAAGATTTTTATTTAAAATCTATTTGCAACATTTGGTTTTAAATTAGGTTCTTATTTAAAATAGGCCCAAAATTTTAAAACAGCTGCACCCTAATAAAGAATTGTATAAAAAAATAAATAAATTTTAAAAATTAAAAAAAAAAAGAATTGTATAAAACTTGTGTCCATGCTAAAATTTAAAAAAAAAGTTTTTTGAGAGGTTTTTGCAATACAATGCGTGCACTTGCCAGAAAGACAGAGAGAGACAGAGAGACAGAAAGTGAGAAATCACCTCCCAGGATGGATGGCCACGCTGCAATCCCTTCTCCACTCTTCTCTCAGGATCTTGGGCATGCACGCACACGCACCCGGCATGAGTTTAAACCACCAGGTCCGGGACTTGAATCGCAGTTGACTACGTGGGAATTCAGTGACATATCCATTACACTAACTGCTGGTCCCCATGCTAAAATTTGCAAGCATTTCATTATCACCAAATGTTTATAAAAGGAGTTGTTTGCGGTTTTTTCCCCCTAAATATTCTATACAATTAAATTTAAGAAAGTGAGAGGCCAAGAGAGAAAGATTTTTAACCTCCAGAAGCATAAAACCTTTGTAGAGAACAAAAATTAGATTAAAATATGATGAAGGGGACCAGCAGGTGGTGTGGTGGTTAAGGTGCTGGACACTTCCACATTGCCGACCGTGGTTCAAGTCCTGGACCTGGTGTCTTGCTTTCTCACTTTCCCAATCTCTCTCTCTCTCTCTGTGTCTCTCTCTGGTAAAATTAAAATAAATGAATGACTGAATAAATAAAATTAAATTTAAAAAATTTTTTTAAATATTAGGAAGGATAAATAATTGATGTTTAATATTGTTATTATTTGCTGCTTGCTAACTTCCAACTTTTGAAAGCAAATTTTATTGATCTTTAATTAGTAAAGATTGCTTTTTAATTAACATTGGTATTTTGGAGACCTTGAATCAAGCTTTTCTCTGAATTTGATTCTCATCTGCTAGAGTAAGTGGACTCCTTTGTAAATATACGTTCTGCATACAGATTTTACACACACAAGCCTGTCTATATAGTGAACAGGGTCTGTAGAGCCTTGTTAGAAGGGGGCCAGAACCTGAGGAAGAGAGCAAATGTATTGGTCGCCAAAGGTTATCTGCTAAAGCTGGACTGCAGTTTGCTTAGGAACTACTAGAGGAGTTCTAGAAAAGCAGTACTGAAACTTTAAACTCGGACCTGTAATTAATTTCCCACTGTTTTATTTTCGATTTTGCAGTTTTAGAGATGTTTATAGGAAAAGGATATTTTCATAGCTTCCAAGTTTCTATTTTGGGGATGCATATTTTTGTACACTCTTTAAAACTCTCTCTCTGTCATACATACATACATACACACACACAGACACACGCACACACACATGCCCTATGTTCATACTGGCTCTTTATAAAATTCCTGCAGCTAGCATCGTATTTCATGGTGAGAAACCAGAAGCTTTCTCTCTAAGATCAGGAGCAAGACAAGGATGCCTCCCCCACCGCTCCTTGTCAGCGCTGTTGGAATGGTCCTCCTAATGCTGTAAGACAAGGAATGGAAGTAAATGGTATACAGGCTAGCGAGAAAAAAGAAAACTGCCTTTGTTTACAGGTTACATGATTGTCTAGCTAGAAAAGCCAAAGAATCAAGAAGTGGAATAACTCAAAACCAATTATAGTAAGGTTGTAGGATATAAGATTAATATGCAAGGCAATTACTTTATTATGTACTACAGTAACAATTGAACTTGAAATTAAAATATAACACCATTTACATTAGCATCACAAAAATGAAATTCTTAAATATAAATCGAATAAAATATGTACATATGTATGAAGAAAACTACAAAACTGAGAAATCAGAGTAGAACTAAATAAACGGAGAGATATTCCATGTTTGTGAAAGACAGTATTATCATATCTCCACCCTTCCCAATTTGATCAATAAATTCAGTGCAACCCAAATCAAAATCCTAGCAAGTTATTTTGTGGATATCAACAAACTGACTAAATTTTAAGTGAGCAGGCAAAATACTCAGAATAGCCAACACAATATTGAAGAACAAAATCAGAGAACTGATAGTACCTACTTCAAAACTTACTAAAAAGCTACAATAATCAAGACAGTGGTGCTAGTGAAAGACTAGACAAATAGATGAGTAGAACAGTGAGCCCAGGAATAGATTCACATAAATACAGTCAGTGATCTTTGACAAAGGTGCAAAAGTGATACAAGGGAACAAAGAGAGTTTAAACAATGGTGTTGGTGGGGCTTGCAGATGGCATGGTGGTTAAGGTGCTGAGTCCCACACAGCTAACTCTGTGTTGGAGTCCCGAACTCGGCAGCTTGGAAAACATGCCAGACATGTATGCAAGTGTGCCCAAAATCCCAAGAGGAGAATGGAAAAGGGATTGTGGCATGGCTATCTCCCCCAGAGAATGGTATCTCACTTTCTCTCTCTCTCTCTCTCTCTCTGTCTTCTCTGGTGAGTGCACATTCCCTATAGCAAAACCAAAAAAAAAAAAAAAAAGTCCTGGAGACAGGGCATCCACATAAACAGTATAAATCTAGACATAGACCTTGCAGCTTTCACAAAAATAACTCAAAATAGGTTATAGACCTGAATGTATTTATGAAACACAAACCTAGGAAACTTCTAAAAAAGTAACCTAAGAGAAAGACTTCAGATATGGCAGTGACCTTTTCTTCTCATCTCATTTTTATGATGGAGGTGTGTGCCTGAGAGAGAACCCTCCCATGAGATCTGGTTACCCTGTAATTGTCCTTCCTCCAGTTCTTCATCCTGTCAGGGTCTATGATGTGTGCATACATCTGGTGTGTTTTCAAGCCACTGTAGCCAGAATTCCAACACCGGTCGGCCACGTGGGATCTGGCTTCCTCCGTATAGCACTTAACAGGTGCCTTATGGGACCAGTCCGACAACGACTTTTTAGGTACAACACCAAAGGCATTCTGAATAAAACAAACAATTGATAAGCTAGACTTCCTTAACATCAAAAACTTCTGCTCTAGATGAGGCCCAAGTGTTGTTCTGGCCAACCTAGACAGGCCAGGTGGTGGTACATGCCTGTGGTCTCAGCTAACTGGGAGGTTGTGACAGGAGAATTGCAACATGGGAACATCATTTGATTATACCGCATAGTCCATTTTATTTTATTTTACTTTATTTTATTTTTGCCAGAGGGCACATGCACTTGCCGGAAAATGAAAGAGAGAGAGAGGGAGAAAACACCTCCCTATGGAACATGGCTGCAATTTCTTCTCCATTTCTGAGTCCTGTTGGGATTTGGAGTGTACGCGTACATGCACCTGGCATGTTTTTCGGCCATTAGGTCCAGGATTCAAACTGTGCGGTCAGCCACATGGGATCCAGCTCTGTTAACCTCCAGGCCATGAGGCCAGCCCTATAATTTATGCTGTATGTTGCCAATTCAATTTGCTAATATTTGGTTAATGATTATTGTATCTAGGTTCATAAGGAGTATTGCTATGTAGTTTTTTTCCATTTAATTTATTATCAAATTTTTACTTATACCAGACAGACAGAGATAGAGATAGAGGAAAAGTGAGAAAGCAAGCCATCAGATCCGAGACTCAAAACTGCGGTCAGCCATGTGGGAGTCCAGTGCCTCGGCCACCACGTCACCTGTTGGTCCCTGTAGATTTTTTTTTTTAATTGCCTGAGGGTGCATGTGCTCTTCAGAGAGAGGGGTGGGAGAGGAGAAAGGATACCCCAAATGGGGTGTGGTCATGTCGCAGTCTTTTCTCACCCCCCAGGGGAGATGGCTACGCCACAGTCCCTTCTCCTCCATTCTCCTTTTGGGATTTTGGGCATGCACACATGCGCACTCAGTCTGAGTTTTATGCCACCGGGTCCAAGACTTGAACTGCAGTTAACTACGTGGGAGTTCAGCGATGTAACCATTGCACCATTTGCTGATCCCAAATTCTTTTCATTTTTATTTATCTGAAAGTGTCTTTATTTCAGTCTCATTTTTTAAAAAGAATTATTTTATTTAACTTTATTGATTTATTTTAATTTGACCAGAGGGACAGAGAGAGAAAGAAGGAAAGTGAGAAAGCAAGCCATCTGGCCCAGGACTCGAACCGTGGTCGGCTGTGTGGGAGTCCAGCGCCCTTAATCACCACCTCACTGCTGGCCCAATTTCAGCTCCATTTTGAAGGGTAGTTTTACTAGGAATAGGTTTCTTAATTGACAGTTTTTTGATCTGTACTTTTGAAATGTAGCTCTGCTCTCTTTTTGCCTACATTGTTTCTGATGAGAATGCTGTGTTAATCATATTATTTTCCCTCTGTGTGATAAGTTACATTTCTTGCTACTTCTGTGATTTTCATTAACTTTGGTTTTCAACAATTTGAAAATGATGTCTCTAGCTTGTGAATCTTTTTGTGTTTATCTCAGTTGGGATTTACTGAGCTCTTTTTATCTGTAGCTTAATTTTTCTCATTATTTTCTTAAAGTTTTCAAACATATTTGCAAATATTTTTCTGCCCCCTTATTACTCTCTTCTGGAATTCTCATCATGCATATTTAATACTCTTGATGGCTTCTCATAAGTTTCTAAGGATCTATTCATTTCCTCCTTTTTTCTTTCTGTTCTTTAGATTGATTTGCCTCTATTGATCTATTTTTAAGTTCACTTATATGTTCTTTCATAAGCTCAGATATGCTGTTGAGCCTCCCAAGTGAATTTTTCATTTCAATTGTTGTACTCTGTAATTTGAGGTTTCTATTTTTGGCTTACTGCAGTCACTTTTTTCTTTAATTGTTTAAACGTATTCATAATCGGTCCTTGGAAAACTTGGTCTCTAAGCCTAGTTTCTGGAGTTCGTCGGTTTCTACTGACTACTTTCCTCTGGCTGTGCCCTATAATGTTCTATTTCTTTACTTGTCTGGCAATTTTTTGTTGAAAACTAAGCATTTAAATCACATATTATGACAACTCTGGATTTGGTTTTATTTTTTGAGATTTTTGTTGTCGTTTTGTTAATTTGCATGTACTTACAATGTTGTTTTGTTAATTTGCATGTACTTACAACTTTCTGCCTCATGTTTTTCATCAGTTGTCTTACAGGGTTTTATTGTTGTTCTTTTTTTAATTTTAAAAATAATTTTTTAGGGCTGACCCCGGTCCGAGTCCTAGACTTGAAATGTACACTGGGTACACGTGTGTGCATGCCCAAAATTGAGAGGAGAGTGGAAGAGAAGGGATTGTAGTGTGACCATCCCCCCCCACCCAGGAGGAGGTAATTTCTCACTTTCTGTCTCTCTGGTGAGTGCACGCACCCTGTAGTAAAAATCTCTCTCTCAAAAAGAAAGAAAAAAATTGTTAGCATATCTTACTAGGTATTTCCCTTATATCTGTTATATAGCTTAGTGGGCAATTCATAAATAGGAGGGGACACTGTGTTCAAGCCAGTAGGGTTCCCATTCGCTGCCAAATAATGTGTAAATGGTTTGATGAATAAATTCAAAGTTGCGGCTGATACTCAAGTCCTCACTACTTTTATAAGAATTATTTAATTTATTATTATTATTATTGTTTTTGCTATAGGGCACATGCACTGACCAGAGAGAGAGGGAAAGTGAGAAAGCAAATCACTAGGTATGAACTTGACCCGCAGTTGGCACCTCAGCCAACATACCACCTGCGAGTCCTCATCAAGTCTTCCCGGAGTCTTCCACACACTTGCATATTTTCTCCAACAGCCATGGGTGTGTGAAGAACCTGTCTCAAACGTCGTAGGACTTTCTTACTTCCAGGATCTTCCAGTTAAATTTTCGCCCGTGTGCCATTGGCCCCCATTGAGACTGCAGCCTCAGATGAGCACAGCTGCGGGTGTCCACGTTCACAGACCAGCCTGCCGCTCTCAGCCAGCGAGATGCGGGTTTTCCTTCTCCACTCCATATCAAATCATCCCTCTGGCCGGAGTGCTTTTTCAATCCACTGAGGCTGGAATTTAATCCCGGGGCCACTTTACACTGCACCAGACCACTGCGATACAGAGCCAGCTCCATGAAACACTTTAAATAATTCAGGTCAGGTTTAAAACTATTTTTTTAGGGACCAGCAGATGGTGTAGTGGTTAAGGTGCTGGACTCCCCTGTGGCCGACAATACTGAGTCCTGGACCAAACGGCGTGAAACTCATGCTGAGTGCATATGTGTGTGTCCAGAATCCCAGGAGGCAAATGGAGGAAAGGGGATCGTGTTATGCCATCCCCTTGGAGGGTAGCTTCTCACTCTCCCTCTCTCTGTTTTTCTCTTCCTTCAGTGAATGCATGCTCCCTATGGCAAAATACCTTTAAAAATGTTTTTAAATAAAAATACTTTGTTTAAAACTTGTCTCTCAAAAATTGACAGTCTTTGGAATCTATATTTTAGCCAAATACTTGTCAAGCACGTGGGTAAGCAGTGTCAATCTATGCTATGTGTAGAACTGGCTATTAATATATTTGATAAAATAGAATTTGTCTTTTGTTTATAAACATGTGTGTCTGGGTAGATATATAGACATATACTTTTTATATTTCAGGACTTATATTCTTGATGATATGGTGTGTAACCTGGTCATTCACAGGCTCTGAAGTTTTCCCTGGTAGAAATATATTTGGAGTGTTAGTTATTTTTTATAGTGCCTTTGTTGGGGGGAAACTTTTACAGCACATTAGAATACCTTCAGTGCCTCCCCTTCCACCTCTTCTTGGTAAGTATACACTTAGCTCTCTTTTCTTTGTTACTGACTATACGTAAATTTTGAATATTTTTCAGTTGGACTAGATATAATTCAGAAATAAATGTAATTCAGAAACATTTCAATGTAATGTCAATATGGCTTCTTTAATATGTATTTACTATATATAGATCTTTTATAGATGAACTGGGGGGAGGGTCCAAAAACTCGTGGAAAATACGTATTACAAAAAACTATGCATACATTTTTTATTTTTTTGCACCAAAACTTTTTATTTTTTGAGAGGTTTTTGACTATAGGGCGCGTGCGCTCGCCAGACAGACAGAGAGAGACAGAGAGACAGAAAGCGAGAAATCAACCCCCAGAGGGGATGGCCACACCACAATCCCTTCTCCTCCATTCTCCTCTCGGGATCTTGGGCACACACGCACACGCGCCCGGCATGGGTTTTAAACCACCGGGTCCGGGACGCAAACCGCGGTCGACTACGTGGGAGTCCAGCGACATAGCCATTATGCTAACTGCTGGTCCCTGCACCAAAACTTTTTTTAGAGAGAGAGAGAGATTTTTGCTATAGGGCATGCACGCTCACCAGAGAGACAGAGAGGCAGAGAGAGAGAACTCACTCCCCAGGGGGAATAACTGTGCTGTAATTCCTTCTCCATTCTTTTCTCGGAATTTTGAGCATGCATGCATATGTGCCCTCTATGAGTTTAGAGCTGCCAGTTCTGGGACTCAAACCATGGTTGATTACGTGGGAGTCCAGGGACGTAACCATTACACTATCCGCTGGTCCCCAAACTCACATTTTAATTCCATTTTCTGTGAACTCTTTGAAGTCTCGTCATATATTTTCTCTCCCTCTCTCTACACACACATACATGCACATACGCATGCACACATGTAGAATGTTTTTCAAGATCTATTTTAAAAATAATTTCAGTATGGGGCCAGCAGGTGGTGTGGTGGATAAGGGCACTGGATTCCCACATGGCTAACCATGGTTCAAGTCCTGGACCTGGTGGCTTGCTTTCTCACTTTCCCTATCTCTCTCTCTCTCTCTTTCGTCAAATAAAGAAAAAAAAATAACAATAACAAATGGAAAGAAATAATTCTTTAAAAAATAAAAATAAGTTATTTCAGTATCTTTATTATATGATTCTTGGTATTGTTATCATTTCAATAGGATTTTTTTTTTCCCAAGAGATTTTTGCTATCGGTTGTGTGCACTCGCCAGAGAGACAGAAAGTAAGAAATCAACCCCCAGGGACCTTGCCCACACCACAATCCCTTTTCCCCCCATCCTCCTCTCGGGATTTTTTGGCATGCACACACATGCACCTGTTTGAGTTTTAAGCTGCTAGGTCGCTGGGTCTGGGACTCAAACCTTGATCAACTACATGGGAAGCCAGTGACGTAACCATTATGCTATCTGCTGGTCCCTCAATAGGCCTTTTTTTTTTTTTAACTTAATTTAAAATGTATTATAGAAAAGAAAAATTTATAAAGGACTGCATTTTTCTGTCAATAACCTGATTTGATTGCAAGTCACAGATTTACATATATCGTGACTAGGGCAGCCCAAGGTCCTCTGGTTCTGAGTAAGCCTCTGAACATCTTAATGTGTGTGCTCACGAGTGCCTCACCCGTCTCACCAGTACTGCATCCTGTTCCTTCCTCGCCGTGGCTCTGTAACTCTATCCAGGAAGAAGAAAATCAGTGAAAAGATTCCTGTCGATCGTGTCTCACGCCTTCTCATTCCTCAGTGCACCTCGATACTGGCACGCTGTCACTGACATCCCCTCTGCATCTTACCTCGACGCCCTTCCACGTCCCTAATACCTCGCAGGGCTCTGAGTACTCACTGCATTCTTTTCCTCCTCTCCAAACCCCCTCTTGGCCGTAGCTGAGGCTATTCGTTTCTGACTTTTGCCTGGACTACAGCAGAGCCCTCTAACTGGTCTGTTTCCAGTTCAGTGCCTATCTAACTCACCAAGGTCATCACATAGAAAAAGGCAACACTCACTATGTCTCTTCCTCACTAAACCCTTCCTATGGTGCTCTGCTCTGCCCTGCCAAAGGGGAGGGGCGGTTTCTCGTCCCTCCAGCTCACTGTTCCCGCTCCCACCGTTGTCCTTTATGCCCCAGTGACATGAATTGCTTGTTGTACGCCGTTTAAATGTGTTTTCTCCTTTCATTCCCTATGCTGCCTTCTCTACTTGTAGGTATCCTGTCTTTCCCTGAAGTCATGAGAAGTGTAGTGTGTGTGAGGAGAAATAATGCATTTCTGTCTTCTCTCTTGCAAAAACAAGCTGAATCATACGTCCTTCACTTTCTGTCTTTGAAGGGATGTTACTGGCTGGTTTTATCATCCGGAATGTTCCGTTCATCAGCGAGCATGTCCATATTCAGAGTGTGTGGTCGTCAGCCCTGAGAAGCACTGCCCTTGCCATCATCCTGATACGAGCCGGGCTTGGGCTTGATCCTCAGGTAGATTTCCATTTATAACTTGAGTAAAGACACTTCACATATTAGAAGCTGGTCAGGATGGGGTAAAAGGTCAAATTTGTGTTATAGCTATTCCAAGTGGAACCCAAAAAGTAAGCAAAACTAAGATAACAAAGACTATAGAAATATTGGGACCTTCATTTCTATTAGGTTGTTGGAAAAGTCATGATGTATACATATATATACATATATATATGTATACATATATATATATATGTATATATATGGTTATTGCCAATATGAAGAGAAATCACTGCGATAGATGGTTGTATACGTATATATATATATGTATATATATGGTTATTGCCAATATGAAGAGAAATCACTGCGATAGATGGTCTCTGTTAGAGACCATCTTAATGATTTGCTTAGAGATAAACGTCCCTCATACAGCACCTGTATTATTTGGAAGACTTTTCTATGGACAACTATTTACTTTTCAGTTAACAAAGAACATCACCCTGGGACCAGCAGTTAGAGTAATGGCTATATTGCTGAACTCCCATGTAGCTGACTGCGGTTCGAGTCCCGGACCCAGTGGCTTAAACTCACGCTGGGCACGTGTGCATGCGTGCCCAAGATCCCCAGAGGAGAATGGAGGAGAAGGGATTGTAGCGTGGCCATCCCCCCTGGGGAGTGATTTCTCACTTTCTGTCTCTCTGTCTCTCTCTGTCTTTCTGGTGAGCACCCATTCCCTATAGCAAAAACCTCCCCCCCCCAAAAAAAAAGAATGTCACCCTTTAAAAGGCTCTTTTTTTTCTTTCATTTAAGATTCCATTGTGGGGCCGGCAGGTGGCGTGGTGGTTAAGGGCGCTGGATTCTCACACGGCCAACTGTGTTTCAAGTCCCAAACCTTGCAGCTTATTTTCTCCCTTTCTCCTTCTCTCACACTTTGTCCTTCTCTGGTCAAATTTAAATAAATAAATAAATAAAGTTAAATAAAGTAATTCTTTAAGAAAAGAAAAAGATTCCATTGCATGGGGCCAGCTGGTGACATAGTGGTTAAAGGCACTGGATTCCCACAAGGCCAACTACAGTTCACTTTCTCGCTTTCCCTTTCTCTTTGTCTCTCTCTGGTCAAAATAATAATAATAATAAATGGAATTAAATAAGTAAATAAATCTCAAAAAAAGAGATTTCATTGCAGAAATATTTTCGTGTCCTATTTTCCCAAAGAAATATGTTCCTAGTTATCTTTACATAATTGAAGAAAACTATTTTTAAAAAATATTTCTTAAAACATTATGACCTAGGTGGGCCAGCAGGTGACGTGGTGGTTAAGGCACTGGAATTCCCACATGGCCGACCACTGTTCGAGTCCCGAACCTGGCAGCTTACTCTCTCTCTCTCTCTGTCTTTCTCTGGCAAAAACACATGAGAAAAAAATAATAAATAAATAAAAGAATAAAATAATTAAAAACTTTACAACCTAAGAATTATGCATCTGTTTGGGTTGTATGAAGACCATTTTGAAGATGACATACATATATCATGAACAGCTACTGAAGTAAATGTGGCAAATATATGTGTTTAATGGCAGTATCTCAAGAGCATAACCAGTGAAAAAGGTCATGTTCCCTACTAGAATTTTTTTAGAGATAATTTTGCTTTAGGGCGCATGCTCTTGCCTGAAAGACAGAGAGAGAGAAAGAAATCACTCCCCCAGGGGAGATGGCCACACCACAATTCGTTCTCTTCCATTCTCCTCTTGGGACCTGGGGCGTGCAGGTGCGTGGTATGAGGTTCAAACCACTGTGCCTGGGACTCAAACCACACCCAACTGTGTGGGAGTCCAGTGACGTAATCATTATGCCATCTGCTGGTTCTTCTAGTAGAATATTTGAACAAATAAGAAAATTTAAAAGTTCCCCAGTAGAAAATATGAGCCAGTGAGAAAATTTTAAAGTTTCTCTCCTTTTAAATTAATTTTGCAGTTTTTAACTGATTTTCTTTTTGGGCATGTTGATATTTTTGTTTATAATGATCAAGTAAATCAAAGAATTTATTGTTAAAAGTTAACTGATGAGAAAAAAACCTTTCCGATACTATGATTATACTACCTATTGGGAAAATTAAGTAAGGTAGAAATAGTTATTTAGATACAAAATAATGGATCTTTTTAAATAATTAAAATACAACAATAGTTTATAAAATGTGAAATTGTTTATAATATAATCTATGACGACATACAAAATGAGCTGAGATGGCGTTTCAAGCCCAGTGGTACAATCTGGCCTAATGAGATTTAATGGGTTGTCGGAAAAGTCATAACGTATTTTTTTTACTGTTTTTCTGTGCAAAAAGTGCATCATGAGTTTTCCAACGATCCAATAGTTTAATAAAGCTTATTACTCAAAGAAAAGTGTATATTTCCGTACTTGCTTAGATAATGTTCTTGATTATCTGAGCTGACCTAAGCTGCATGTTCTTGTTTTAGGCTTTGCGGCATCTGAAGGCAGTCTGTCTCAGATTGTCCATGGGTCCTTGCCTCATGGAAGCATGCTCGGCTGCCTTGTTTTCTCGCCTCATTATGAAACTTTCCTGGCAGTGGGGATTTCTACTAGGGTAATTTTTCTCATTTTTTTCTATAAAAATATTCAGTTAAGGATACTTGTTTTTTATATTATTGAAATATTTGGGGACCAGCAGATGGTGTAATGGCTACATCATTGGACTCTTATGTAGTCTACCGCAGTTTGAGTCCCGGGCCCGGTGGCTTAAACTCATACTGGGCGCGTGTGCGTGCGTGCCCAAGATCCCAAGAGGAGAAGGGAGGAGAAGGGTTTGCAGTGTGACCATCCCCCTTGGGGAGTGATTTCTCACTTTCTGTATCTCCACCTCTGTCTTTCTGGCGAGTGCACGCGCCCTATAGTAAAAACCTCTCAAAAAAAAAAAAAAAAACTATTGAAATATTTGTGGGGGCCAGCAGATGGCGTGATGTTTAAGGCACTGGATTCCCACACGTCAAACCATGATTCGAGTCCCTGACCTGGCAGCTTGCTTTCTTACTTTCCCTCTCTCTCTTTCTCTGTCTCTCCCTGGCCAAATTAAAAATAATATAATTAATTAATTTAATTAATCTGTAAAAAATATTGAATGGAGGAGAAGGGATTGCGGCATGGCCATCCATCCCCCCTGGAGGGTGATTTCTCGCTTTCTGTCTCTGTCTCTCTCTGTCTGTCTGGCGACCACACGTGCCCTATAGCAAAAACCTCTCCAAAAAGAAAAAAGAAAAAAGAAGAAACCGTAGGAAAAACAGTATTCTGTGTATTTTTATACATATCTTATTGAAGAATGTTTCACTTTACAAGTTGCTCTTTTCTGTCAGTAATATTTTGGGGATTTCTTGATGTTGAAACATATAGTTCATTCCTTTTAATTTTATGGTATTACATTATATGACAAGAATAGATTTTATTGGCAAGGTTACGACAATTAGCATTTTATTTGTCTCATTTTGCACAAATGTAAATTAGTCTAGAACAGTTTCTTGGATGATATGCAGTTTAGCTTTGATAGATACTGCCAAAACACCTCCAGCATGGCTGTCCTAATTTCCCTATCACCAACATGTGAGAATAACCATTGTTTTCTCAAATCCACGCAAGTCCTTGATATTATCAAATGTATTTTTTTTCCAATATGGTAAGCAAGAATATATGTTCTTTGTTGTTTTAATTTGCATTTCTGCACAGCAAAGAAGACAGAGTGATACGGCAACTTTCAGAATGTGAGAAAATAATTGCAAACCATATGTCTGTTAAGGGGCTAATATCTAGAATACAGGAAGAACTCCTATAGTCAACAACATCAACAGTGACACAAACAAAAATTTGGTAAAGAACTTGATAGACATTTCTCCAAAGATATGCAAATAACGGAGATGTCAGACATCTGTAACCACCAGAGAAATGCAAATGGAAACCCAGGAGGGTTGGCTCCCTGGTGCCATCCTGCTGCGTGCTATGGGGAGGGAGGAGTCCAGATCCCACATGACTAATGAGGGTCAAGTCCCAGATCTAGTAACTTATGCCTAGGACCCTGATGGGTTAGAGAATCAGAGGGAAAAGGGTTGCAGTGTGACCAGACCCCTCTGGGGGAGTGCTTTCCCTCCCTCCCTCCCTCCCTCTCCCTCTCTCTCCCTCTCTCTCTCTCTCTCTCTCTTACTTGTACCCCCTGGCATCATGAGATAAAACATTTTTTAAAACAGAATAAGGGGGCCAGCAGGTGGTGTGGTGGTTGAGGTGCTGAACTCCCACACAGCCAGCCACAGTTTAAGTCCCAGACCTGGCAGCTTGCTTTCTCACTTTCTCTCTCTCTTTCTGTCTCTCTAGTGAGTGCACATGCCCTATAGCAAATTTATAAATAATAATCATTAATAAATTAAATAAATAAATAATCCTTAAACACACACACAACAAATGAGATACCGTCACTTACCCTTTAGAATAGTGTGTGTGTGTGTGTGTGTGTGTGTGTGTGTGTCCACCAAATGTTGGTGAGGATGTAGATAATTTGCACAATTTGTGCAATGTAGGTGGGAATGTACGATGGTATAGCTAGTACAGAAAAGAGTTCGGAAGTTCCTCAAAAACTAAGTGGCATGACTCAGCAATCTTATTTTGAGGTCCATAGCCAAAAGAATAGAAAGAAGGATCATGAAGAGACATTAGCACTGCATGTGCATGTTCATGGTAGCATGATTCACAATAACCAAGTGTGGAAGCAGCCCACGTGTCCCACCGGCAGATAAAATGTGGTGTAGACGGACAATCGAATATTATTTAGCCATAGAAAGAAGAAATCCTATCACATGTTACAGTATGGACGAACCTTGAAAACATCGTGCTGATTGAAATAAGCCATCATGAAAAGATAAATACTATATGATTCGAGATATCTAGAGTAGTCAGATTCCTTGTAACAGAAACAGAATGGTGGCTGCCAGGGACTGAGGGCAGAAGGAAAAAGGAGATTGTTATTCAATGAATATAAGTTTCAGTTTGCAGGAAGAAAAGTTTTTAAGGATCAGTTACACAATAATATGAATATAATTAACACTACTGAACTGTATGCTTAAAAATGGTGAAAAGGATAAATTTTATATTACATATTTAAATTTTTATGTATTTATTTATTTTTAGAGACATTTTTGCTATAGGGCACCTGTGCTCACCAGAGAGACAGAGAGAGCTAGAGAGACAGAAAGCAAGAAATCACCCCCCAGGGGAAATGGCCACGCTACAATCCCTTCTCCTCCATTCTCCCATCAGGACTCTTAGGCACACACATACACGTGGCTGGCATGAGTTTTAAGCCACCAGGTCTGGGACACGAACTGCAGTTAACTATGTGTTACTCCAGCAATGTCGTCTAGCAATGTAACCATTATGCCATCTGCTGGTCCCGTATTACATATTTTTTAACCAAAATTTTATGTTGCTATTTCACCAGAGGCATGTGCTCTCACTGGAGAGAGACAGAGAGAAAGGAAAAGTAAGAAAACAGCACCCATATGGGGTGATCACATCACAATCCCCCTTCTTCCATTTCTCCCTCCTTTCTGGATGGGCCCACACGTAATGTGCCCAACCTGTTTCTCAAACCACCATGTCCAGGACTTGAACCATGCAATCAGTCATGTGGGATCCAGGCACTTTGACCACCATGCCACCAGCTGCCCCCACCCCCAAATTTTCTAACATAAAAGAAAATATCCCGGTACTCTGGTCCAATTCCATGCCAGTTATATCAGAATGTCTTGAAATGGGAACTTGGCACCAGTTTTCTTCAAAGGTCCTCAACTCCATGGCAGGTACCCTCTGCGATTACTTCCAGTGGTCCATCGCTGGTATTGACACCTTTGTCGCACACTCTCCCTGAGGGTACACTTGCCTTAGTGACTTGCTCGTGATGAACAGAGCACAGCAGAAGCTGTGGGTGTCACTGCCAAGGTTAGGTTAGGCGAGGCTGTGGCTTCTGTCTTGCATGTTCTCTCTGATCACATGTCCTGAGGGGAGCCGGCAGCCATGTCTTAAGGCCTTTGGGAAAGCCCCCCTAACCAGACTGAGGGCTGCCCATGGCTGTGTGAGTAAACTCGGAAGAACATCTCATCCCACCCACCCCATGAAAGGTCTTGAGTCAGGGGTGTACAGCTAGGCCACCCTCAGATTTCTGACTCACAGAAGTTATGAGATGAGATAATAAAATATTTGCTGTTTAAAACTACTATGTTTGGGAGAACTAGCAGTTAGCATAATGGCTATGTCGTTGGACTCCCACGTAGTCGGCCGCGGTTCGCGTCCCGGACCCGGTGGCTTAAAACTCACGCCGGGCGTGTGTGCATGCGTGCCCAAGATCCCGAGAGGAGAATGGAGGAGAAGGGATTGCAACGTAACCATCCCCTCTGGGGGGTGATTTCTCGCTTTCTGTCTCTATGTCTCTGTCTGTCTGGCGAGCGCATGCGCCCTATAGTGAAAAATCTCTCCAAAAAAAAAAAAAAAAAAAAAAAAAACTTTGTTTGGGGATGATCTGTTAAGTGAAATTAGATAAATAATACACCTCTTGATTCTGGTGTGCCTCAAAGTTCAAGAATTGCTGAGCTAGTGAGTATGTGGTTTCAGAAAAGTCTGGTCTTTTCCTGAGTCCACAGGGCGATCAGGAGCATGAACTGCTTGGCTGATGTTGCACAGCCAGTGGCTGAGGCTGGAACCGTCCAGCCCTCGCTTTAGTTAGTTAGGCAGGACTGTCCAGGAGTACAGGAGGCAAAACCTCGCAGCACCCCCAGGTAGGCTCTTGTCAGCAGGGGAGGGTTGCTAAAAACTGCAGGCAAGTAAATGGGCCCTGAGGCCGGACCACAGAGAGCACTGTAGTTTGGCCCTCAAAGCGATAGGTGGGAGAGGAGACAAAGCTCTGGGTGACTTATGCTAAAGAAGTGTCCCCATTTCTTAAGGATGTCATCACGTACCATAGGAATTTTCTCACTTGCCTTTGTAACTAGGTGTCAACATCAATTGTTCCTTCTTTTGACCCTACGTCTCTGTCCCTTACTGACTTACTCAAGAGGTGGAATCAGTGAGGAAGGGAGATTTTTCTTGCCGTTCCTTCAGTAAACTCCTGGTAGTCACCCATTTGGTTTCCCCTGAGGTCTTCCATTTCTAGTATCTGCCATTTCTGGGCATGGAGCAACTTTCTAGTATGAATACATCTGATTTTCTGTAGAAATGTTTACTTAACCCCTATTTTGGCTTCTGGTTTTCTTTGTTAATCCTAAATTGCCTCTTCCTGGTAAAGTTTCTTATCCATTGAGGATTCCCCCTTTTAGTTCTAGATAGGTTATGGATTTTCCTATTATTTTTACATCTTTTGAAAGGATTTAGGGATGGAAAGAGAGACTACAGTTTGTTCTCAGTCCAACCTCTCGAACCACTATAAATTTTATCTAGCACTAACAAAAATACGTGAAAAGATTTATCTCCTGTAAGTGGTATTCACTCAAAAACAGGATCTTGCATTTGTTAAAAAGGTTAATACATTTGTCATGAAGTTTACAATAAAACACCATTTGGTTAAATTTTTCTGAAGTGGTTTTCAAAGTCTGTCTTTCAGTTTTGTCGTAGGCGCTGTCTCTCCTGCTGTTGTTGTCCCTTCTATGCTGTTTTTGCAAGAAAATGGATATGGTGTTGAGAAAGGCATTCCAACCTTACTCATAGCCGCCAGCAGCATGGACGACGTCGTGGCGATCACTGGATTCACCACGTGCATGAGCCTAGTCTTCTCCCCAGGTAGCAAGAAATGCCACTGCCTAGTCTTTGTGACCCTCCCCTCCTTTAAAGTGGGTTTCTAGCCGTACTTCCGTATTTACTAAGCCAGACTTCAGCTTAAGACCCTCTTATCCTTCATAGAAAGTTCATACTGTTGGGTTGTCAGAAAAGTCATGATGTGGGACCAGCAGTTAGCCTAATGGCTATGTCGCTGGGCTCCCATGCAGTCGAGTGCAGTTTGAGTTCCAGACCCGGTGGCTTAAACTCACGCCAGGTACGTGTGTCTGCATGCCCAAGATCCCTAGAGAGAATAGAGGAGAAGGGGAACCAGCAGTTAGCGTAATGGCTATGTCGCTGGACTCCCACGTAGTCGACCGCGGTTCGCGTCCCGGACCCGGTGGCTTAAAACTCACGCCGGGCGCGTGTGTGTGTGTGCCCAAGATCCCGAGAGGAGAATGGAGGAGAAGGGATTGCGGTGTGACCATCCCCCCTGGGGGGTGATTTCTCACTTTCTGTCTCTATGTCTCTCTCTGTCTGTCTGGTGAGCGCACGCGCCCTATAGCGGCTCTCTCAAAAAAAAAAAAAAAAAGAATAGAGGAGAAGGGATTGCGGCGTAGCTATCCCCCCTGGAGGGTGATTTCTCACTTTCTGTCTCTCTGTCTCTGTCTTTCTGGTGAGCACACGTGCCCTATAGCAAAAACCTCTTTTTTTAATATATAACAAAAAAGAGAGAGAGAGAAAAGTCATGATGTATTTCCCTGTTTTTGTATGCAAAAAATGTGTCATGACTTTTCAGAATACCCAACAGATGGTTGGCCAGGTAGCACAGTGGTTAAGCAATATGCATTGGGAGCCCAATTCCACATGGCAAACTGTTTCACATCCTGGCCCTGGCAGCTTAAAAAATGCTAGGCACTTGTGTATGTGTGCCCCAAATCTGGATGGGATGGAGAAGAAAAGGAAGAGGGATTATAGCATGACTATGCCCACTTGGGGGAACTTGGTCTCTCTCTGTCTGGTAAGCACACATGTCCTCTGGCTATTATCTATCTGTCTGTCTATCTATCCATCTATCTATCTATAAATAAAAGAAAGCTCGTACTAAATGGGAGAAGACATTTCAGTGGGTTAAGAAACCATTACTTGGGACCAGCACATGGCGTAAAAGTTATGTCACTAGACTCCTGTGTAGTCAACTGTGGTTTGAGTCCTGAACCAGAAGGCTAGGAACTCACTCCAGGCATGTGTGCATGCATGCCCAGAGAAGAGGAGACTGGAGCAGGGATTGTGGCATGGCCGACATTCTGGGGGGTTGGGGGTGATTTCTCATTTTCTGTCTTTCTCTCTTTGTCTCTTCAGTGAGCGCATGCACCCTATTGCAAAAATCTCTCTTAAAAAAAAAAGAAAAGAAACTACTACTTAATATAACCATGTTTCAATTAATTCTACAACTAATATTACTACTTATCTGTTTATATTGGTTTGTAATTATATCAGTTTTCACTAAAAAATTTTAAAGGGCAGTATTACTGGTATTACTGGTTGCTCCATCATTAACATGGTTTAAACAAGTGGAGCCGGAACAATCATATGCCCTTCTGGTCATGGTGGGACAAGATCCCTGTCCAGTTCTGTCTCTCAAGGTGATATCTGACCCTGAATGTTACTGTAAAAATTGTGAAAAAAGCTATTTTCCTCCCTGGCTGCTTGAGGATATACCACCATCATGAATGACACAGTAACCATCCAAACCAGAAAATTCATGACCAACCAACTACTTCAGAGGAAACAAAAGGTCATTGATGTGTTCACCCCGGGAAGGCAACCGTACCTAAGACAGAAATTTGGGAGAAACTAGTGAAGATGTGCAAGACCACAGCAGATGGCATCTTTGTGTTTGGGTTCAGAACCCATTTCAGTGGTGGCAAGACAACTGACTTTGGCATGATTTACAATCCTTTGGATTATGCAAAGAAAAATGAGCCCAAACATAGACTTCAAGACATGGCCTTTATGAGAAGGAAAAGATGTCAAGAAAACAGCAAAAGGAATGCAAGAACAGAATGAAGAAAGTCAGGGGGACTACAAAGGCCAGTGTTGGTGCTGGCAAAAAGTCGCAGGAGTAAAGATTCTGCAGTGACTATCTGCAGTGATTGTGTGGGTTTTTCATGAGAGGATTAATAAACTAAAAAAATTTTTTTTAATTGAAAATAAACATTTCCACATTTTGTGATTGCTTTAATTATCTACACTGTTTGAAATTCAGTCTCTGTATTATTGAAGTACCAAAATGTTTTTAAGTCAAAAACTAATAGATACAGTTCCTCTCTTTTTTTCTCTTTTTACAAGTTTTTGCCATAAGGCACATATACTTCCCACAGAGAGAGAGAGATAGAGACAGTGAGAGAGAGAGAGTGAGAAACCACCTCCCATCCCCCAGAAGGGATGGCCATGCTGCAACCCCTTTTCCTGCATTCTCCTCTTGGGATCATGAGCACACACGCACACCTGCCCAGCATGACTTTAAGCTGCCGGGTCCAGAACTCAAACCACAGTTTACTATGTGAGTCCAGCAACATAACCATTATGCCATCTGCTACCCCGTTTGCCAATATCCTCATTTTCTTCATACATCGTATTCTGATTTAATGTAATTATCCATGTTCTCACTGAGCTTCTTTAACACAGTTATTTAAACTTCTTTGTGGAGTAAGTCACAGAGCTCCATTTTAAGGAGTTGGTTTCTAGAAATTTATTTTCATCCTTTGATTTGATCACGTTTCCCAATTTCTTTGCCTTGTTATTGTTGTTAGCAGGTATTTGGGCTTTTAAAAACTTTCCACATTTATCAGTCTTTATTAACTGACTTTACACAGAAGGCTTTAACTAATCAATCCAGCTGTAGATTCTGGGGCCTCTCAAGCCTTTTCTAGAGATATGTGCTTTCTAGGCTTTTGCATGCAGTATCCAGACTAGAGATGCCCAGTCCCTTTTCGTGGCACTCTTACTCCCTTTGGTGTCTGTCAGTGGTACTGCGTGTTCTAAGGTGCTGCAAGTCTCTTACCTTGCCTGTTCTCTCAGCACCGCCATCCCCCGCCCCATGCACTGCCCACACTGGGAGTCAGGTGAGACAGAAGCTAGCATTTCAGGCAGCCTTCCCAAAACATTTCATTCTGCTCTTGCCCTCCTAGCAGAGAAGCTACAATTGGGTATTTTTCCCAGTTGTGCCAACCTGTGCCAACTTGGGGAAGGGCTGTCACAGGTATAGCCCTTAGTCATTCCCTTAGTCATTTCAATACCACTTTTCTTGGCTTTGCACTTCCATGGGGTACTGCAACGTATCGATTATGGACTTCCATAAAGGCTTTTGGACTGTTGTTGTTCAATTGGTATCTTTCGGAGAATCAAGATTTGGGGTTTCCTATTCTGTCATCTTACTTTTTTTTATTTTTGCTATAGGGCACATGTACTCATCAGAGAGACAGAAAGCGAGAAATTTACACACACATACCCGCAGGGGAATGGCACGCCACAGTCCATTCTCCTCTTCTCTCTGCTCCATTCTCTCCTCTGGATCTTGGGCACACACGTACATACGCCTGGCATGAGTTTCAAGCCATCAGGGCCAGGACTTGAACAACAGTTGACAAGGCAGGAGTCCAGTGATAGTAACATTACACTCTCTGCTGGTCCCTCTGCCATCTTACTGATATCACTCTTTTTCTATTATTTTTAGAGAAAAAATATCTTTAAAATATATACATACGTACTTTGTGAGTTCAATACCCAAAGCATTACTGAACTTTTTTGTGACTTTGGACCATTATTTTGTGTGTTTATTTTTTTGTTCTCTACTTACTGCAATAAACTACAAACTTATTTATTTATTTATTTATTTATTTATTTATTTATTTATTTATTTATATATAAATAAAACATTCATGGATATAAAATACACTGGAAACAATTAACCCTTGGATATTTCATGTTTTGTTTCTGAGAGAGATTTTTGCTATAGGGTGCGTGCACTCACTGGAGAGACAGACAGAAAGTGAAAAAGCACCACCTCCAGAAGGGATTGCCATACCGCAGTCTCTTCTCCCATTCTCCTCTCAGGATTTTGGGCATGCATGACACACACGCACCCGGCTTGAGGTTCAAGCTTCTGGGTCCAGGACTCGAACCACAGTCAGCCATGTGGAAGTCCAGAGCTTTAATCACTACACCACCTGCTGACCCCAACCTTTGGATATTTCTAGGCTTGGCCCTAGGATAAAATCTTTTATGTTGTTGCTTTTAAATTATTTTATTTCTTAAATATTTAAATCATTTGTTTATCTTTATAGTGGTACATTAGAGAAGAATCATTAATACAGCCCTTAGAAGCCACGCGGTAGGTGTTACAGGAGCTCCCTTGTCAATCTCTGTCCGTTTTCTACCCCACCTGGTCTTTTAGGGCTTTTAGGTTAGAAACAGAAGACAAGCACATTGTGACTCACTACTTCTTTATTTTGTGGGCTATTTATACATTGGACATCTTTTTTTTTTTGAGAGAGGTTTTTGTTATAGGGTGCATGTGCTTGCCAGAAACACAGAGACAGAGAGACAGAAAGTGAGAAATCACCCCCTAGGGGGATGGCCACGCTGCAATCCCTTCTCCATTCTCCTCTGGTGATCTTGAGCACGCACGCACACGCGCCCGGCGTAAGTTTTAAGCCACAGGGTCCAGGACATGAACCGCGGTTGACTACATGGGAGTCTAGCGACATAGCCATTACACCCACTGCTGGTCCTACATTGGACATTTCCAAGTTGTATGTATATATTAAATTGTTTTAGAGTACATACTTGATCAAACATATCTACATATGGTTTCACATAGGTCGCTAGTCCAAGTCCATTCCATCTATTATTTTCTGAACAATGCTTGCCTTTCTTCACGAAGCACTTAGATTTGGTTTTCTGATGTGTTGTGTATGTCAAAGTATTTCTCTGTGAAATATTCTCCTCACCGTGTGCCCCTGCAGGTGGTGTCATTAACAATCTCCTGTCCTCTCTGCGGGATGTACTTATTGGTCTAATGGTAGGAACTGTTTTAGGAATTATTCTTCGATATTTTCCAAGTGGAGATCAGGTAAATAAAAAATTACTCTGTTTTGTACAAGTGCAATATTAGATGTTTCTTTCAAAAATTTGGATATTGAGGGACCAGCAGTTAGCATAATGGCTATGTTGCTGGACTCCCACGTAGTCGACCACGGTTTGTGTCCCGGACCCGGTGGCTTAAAACTCACGCCGGGCGTGTGTGCGTGAGTGCCCAAGATCCCGAGAGGAGAATGGAGGAGAAGGGATTGCAGCATGACCATCCCCCCGGGGGGTGATTTCTTGCTTTCTGTCTCTATGTCTCTCTCTGTCTGTCTGGTGAGCACATGCGCCCTGTAGCAAAAAACCTCTCTAAAAAAAAAAAATTTGGACATTGGGAAGGTGTATGAAATATTAAATTTATGCTTAACTCTTTTCCCCAAAAGTAGCCTCTGATGCCTACTCTGTACTTAAAACTGAGTACAGTAGTGGCTTACACAGGCCAGTGGCCTTCAGGGAAGTCCACTTCCTGACTTGGCAAATAAGAAATACCAGAAAAATGCCAGTGCTTATACTGATACTCAGAGTATCCCTCTCCATTCTGCCCTTTGCCCTTTCTCCACTAAATTGCTACTGATATTGGACAGTTTTTCCTAATCTTTTCTCCTCAATTTTTTCCTTGAACATTTTTGAGAGAGATGGGTTCCCATTTATATTTCCGTATTTTTTACTTAAATTCACTTCCACTTTCTTTTGACAAAGAGAAGACTATTAACATAACCCTTTCTTGCCTTAAAGGATGTGCTATGACTCCCATGTTTCTGTAACGTCTACGTTCATTTACCTATAACAATTATTTTGACTAAAGAGAAACTCAAATATATTTTTCTTTAAAACTTCAATGGATATAGTATATATAACTGAATGTTACATGGCTTTCTCTATTCTCCTTCATTTATAATTTAAGTATTACAACATTCTCACTGACATTAGTATCAGAGATGTGATTCATATCATGGATATGAAACTAAAATTGGCAAATTTTGTTACTTGGTCCAAGTCTGTTAAGATATTTAGTAAGACTATTTAAATTTTAAGCATTATTTAATATAACATTTAGAGACATGATATCAGTCAAAACAAGTGACAGTCTCAAAACTCGTGTTATATACTTTATGTAAATTAATTTTGAAATATCTATCTAATTCTAGACAAAACTTACATTTAAGAGAGCACTCCTTGTTTTGAGTATGTGTCTTTCTGCTGTCTTAGGCAGCCAACGCATCGGCTTACACGCATCTGGAGGGTTATGCACGCTAGTGCTGACTTTCATTGCAGGGACAACATGGGCCGACGAAAAGGTAAATATTTCTAACACTTTATTTCATTTTTATCTGTGCCAGAGGGCAGTGCACTCACCAGTGAGAGACAGTGCCAGGGAGGGAGAAGGAGAGGAGAAAGCACCACGCTGAGCCCTGGTCATGCTCCAATCCTTCTCCATCTCTCTGTTCTGCTGGGATTTTTGAGCACCCATGCACACACACCCAGCATATTTTTCAAGCCGCCAGGGCTAGGATTCAAACTGCTCGATCAATCATATGGAATTCAACACCCTTAACCACCAGACATGGGGCCAGCCAAATATGTCATTAAAAAAAAATAATAAAAGGTGAATATTTTCCCATCTATAATGGACATACACCACATGGCATGGTGGTTGAGGCACTGGACTTCTGCATGGCTGACCACAGTTTGAGTCTCAGAACTGGTGCTTGCTCTCTCTCTCGTGTTCTCTGGTGAGGGTGTGTGCCCTATAGCAAGTGAAAGAAAAATGATAGTAATAATAAATAAAATTGAATAAATCTTTGTTTAAAATGGGCATACAGGAAATCTCCTTTTCTAGTAGTAGGGTGTGTCCTTGATGATGTGTGTAAGTCAATCAAGGATGTAAAATATTTAGGAAAAGCACCTGGGAACATTGTAAAGTCAGAAGTTATCACATCAGGCTTCTCCTTTTCTCAAGTTTTACATATGTCCTTAAAATTTTAGTTATACAATTAACCCATGAAAGCATGCTTATAAAAGTTGAACGTAGGCCCAGACACGGTGGCACGGTGACAGTGAATGTTCTGCAGTGCTGCAGAACATGTAAAGAGCCAGGGTTCAGATCCCAGGTCAAACTGTAGGTACTGGCACCTGCGATCCTGGCTCACGTGTGAGGCGTGAGATCCTGTGGAAATTGTTTGGTTTTCTCTCTCTCAATCGCTTTCTCATGAAAATACATAAACTCTTAAAAAGATGAAGACCTAGCCATTACCCAGTAGTTAGCGTAATGGCTATGTGGCTGGACTCCCATGTAGTCGACCACAGTTTGAGTCCCAGGCCGGGTGGCTTAAACTCACGCCGGGCACGTGTGCATGTGTGCCCAAGGTCCCAAGAGGAGAGTGGAGGAGAAGGGATTGTGGCATGGCCATTCCTCCTGGGGGTGATTTCTTGCTTTCTGTCTCTCTGTCTCTCTCTTTCTGGCGAGCTCACGCACCCTGTAGCAAAAAAAAAAGATGAAGACCTAAAGAATAAAATGTAAAATATTCCTTTATCCTTTACTGCTCTCATATACCAAATCTTCTTTGCAAAACTAGTCATTTTGTCTAACCAGTCCTTTATGTATAAACATGGAGATCTTTCTCTTTTGCCTATGAAAGAAGAAAGAAAAAAGGAAGGAAGGAAAAAAGGAAGAAAAGGAGGAAACTTACATTTTTTCCCTAAAACATAAAAGATAGTAATGTAAAGCACTACTAAAAAAATAATAAAGGTAGTGTAGTGGTTAAGGCAGCTGGATCTCAAATGGCCAACTGTGCAGTTCAAGTCCCAGACCCAGTGGCTTGGAAAATGGGCCAGGCGCCTGTGTGTACATGCCCAAAATGCTGAGAGGAGAGAAGAGAAGGGCTTGCCGTGTGGCCACCCCCTCCTGGGGAATGATTTCTCAGCCCCCCACCCCCAGCCATCTCTCAGGTGAGCACACGCATCCTATAGTAATGATGATGATGATGAATGAAGTACAATTAGATAAATAAAATGAAAACTACTAGAACTCCTTTTTATATGATAGAAAATAAAAACAAACAAGATTAAGTGGGTTTCAAAGATTAAAAGTAACACATAGGATAGTGTGCTATAAAGAAGAAACAGTAATACTGTTTTTTTCTTTTTCTTTTTAAAAAATGTTACATGTGGGACCAGCAGTTGGCGTAATGGCTATGTCGCTGGACTCCCATGTAGTCGACCGTGGTTTGAGTCCCGGACTCGGTGGCTTAAACTTGCACCAAGAGCATGTGCGTGCGTGCCCAAGATCCTGAGAGAATAGAGGAGGAGGGATTGCGGCGTGGCCATCCCCCCTGGGGGCTGATTTCTCGCTTTCTGTCTCTCTGTCTCTCTCTCTCTTTCTGGCAAGCACATATGCCCTATAACAAAAACCTCAAAAAAAAAAACCCAAAAAGTTACATGTATAAATATGGCAATCAGAAAACTGTAAGGGAATAGTTATGAAGACAGTTTGTGCCCCAAGCATTGGACATCAGAGTTCTTATTTATATTCTGTAAAAAACCGTAAACCCAGACTTGGACTAAAATCTCTTCATCCAAATTCCTGGAGAGGAGCCAAAGTATTGGCACACCAACAATGTCATGTGCATTTTCTTGTAAACTTTCAGTCGAGAAACAGCATCTGGACGCATTCATTCTCAAAAGGGGGAGCTGGACAAATAACCAAATAAGAATATAATACACACTTTTGATTTACTTCTAAGGAAAAAAAAACTTGAGTTATTCAATGCAGGTCCTCTGGAAGCAGGCCTAACAGACTACTAGAATTTTTTCCCTGGAAGCTTGTGACATTTGAGGATTCATGTTCATGATGCTGGGTTCCAGGGTCATTGTTAGTGGAGGTCTTCCCAGTTCCCCTCAGGAAGCCCACATGTCCCTGAAGCTAGTATGTTCTTCTTCTTCTTCTTCTTCTTTTTTTTTTTTAAGAACTATTTAACATTATTTATTTACTCATTTTAATCTGACCAGAGAGGGACAGAGAGAGAGAGAGAGAGAAAGTGAGAAAGCAAGCCACCAGGTCTGGGACTCGAACCAAAGTCCATTGTGTGGGGGAGTCCAGCACTCTTAACCACCACGCCACCTGTTGACCCCACTGCGGAGGTAGTATATTCTTATCAGGCATGAGGTAATTCTCTCTCTTATCAGTTCCTTTACCAAAAACAGCTAGAACTTTTTTTTTTTTTTTAGAGAGAGTTTTTTTTGCTATAGGGCGTGTGTACTTGCCAGAGAGACAGAAAGCAAGAAATCACCCCCCAGAGAGGATAGGCATGCCACAATCCCTTCTCCTCCATTCTTCTGTCAGGATTTTGGGCATGCACGCACACCTGCCCAATGTGAGTTTTCAGCTGCCGGGTCAAGGACTCAAACCTCAGTCAACTACATGGGAGTCCAGTGACGTAACCATTATGCCATCTGCTGGTCCAAACAGCTAGAACTCTTACTGAACATGTGTGGAGCCCTAAAGCCCTCACTCATTCTGTGACAAAACGACCAAATAATATTGTTTATTTTATAGTTTTATAGGTTTATTTTAATCAAATTCTAAATTTTTTAACTTAGTCAAATACTAAATGTTTGAATGAAATAATTAATGGACTCAATTTTTATTAACTTTTCACATTTCTCCTGTAAGTAAAATATCTTAAGTTTGTTAAATGTTAATTGTGACTGTAGGCCTTCATGGTGCAGTTGGTGGTTTACTGGACTGCACTGCAGAAAGCCACGTGTCGACTGGCTTGAGACCCTGGCCTGAAAACATGCCGGGGGGCCAGGATGCCGACGGGCTGGAGCACTGGAAGGAGGGGATCACAACATGACACGCCTGGTGGAGGCTTCCGTTCTCTCGCGCTCTCCCTCTCTCTCGCTCTCTCATGCACATGTGCTCTATCGTGAATTAGGGGAGTGAGAAAGAGCTGGCCCTGCGGCATACTGCTTGAGGGAATTAGATCCCACATGGCCAGCCAGTTTGAATCCCAGCTACAGCAGCTTAGAAAACATGCTGGGCAGTGTAGGTGCATGCCCAGGGTCCCAGTGTGATGGAGAGAGAGAGGAGGGGATTGTGTGACCAGGCCCCATTGGGAGGTACTTTTCCTCTCACTTCTTTTGTCTCTCTCTGGCCAGCTCACACACCCTTTGGAAGTTGAAGAAGAAAGAGGAAAAGAAAAGAGATTTTTTTAAAAAGAATTATTTTATTTAACTTTATTTATTTACTAATTTTAAGTTGCCCAGAGATGTACAGAGTGAAAAAGAGAGAGAGAGGGAAAGTGAGAAAGCAAACTACCAGGTCCGGGATTCGAATCACAGTCAGCCATGTGGGAGTCCAGCCAGCCCCGAAAAGCGATTTTTATAAAAAGTGACTTTAAATCTCTGAAATGCAGTTATTTTTATATATCTTGATAATTATAAATGTATTTATCTTTTTCATAGATTGGAGTCCAAAGGCTTATTGCAGCTGCCTGGAACATTTTTCAACCTCTTCTTTTTGGTTTAGTTGGAGCAGAAGTAAATGTTTCATCTCTTCAATCAAATACTATTGGTAAGAATAATTAGCACACAAAAAAATGTAAGATTAAAAAATATTTAATAAAACTATGAATGCTTTTAGTTAAAAAATAATTACTTATTTTATTTATTTATTATTATTTTTTAATTTGACCAATGAGAGACAGAAGCAAAGTGGAAAAGCAAGCTACCAGGTCAGGGACTCAAACCGTGGTTGACCATATGGAATAACCACCATGCCACCTGCCACCCCTGTTTTTGATTTTTATTTACAGTATATCTTTAAATGACTACAAGGGGGACCAACAGTTACCGTAATGGCTATGTTGCTGAACTCCCATGTAGTCGACTGGGGTTCGAGTCCTGGACTCGCTGGCTTAAAACTCACACCAGGCGGGACCAACAGTTAGCGTAATGGCTATGTCGCTGGACTCCCGCGTAGTCGACCGCGGTTTGCGTCCTGGACCCGGTGGCTTAAACTCACGCCGGGCGCTTGTGCGTGCATGCCCAAGATCCCAAGAGGAGAATGAAGGAAAAGGGATTGTGGCGTGGCCATCCCCCTGGGGGGTGATTTCTCGCTTTCTAGCTCTCTCTCTCTCTCTCTCTCTCTCTCTCTCTCTGTCTGGCGAGCGCATGCGCCCTATAGCAAA